ATTTGCAATGTTCCTTTTCCAATCAGTACAGTAGATGAACAACATATTGTGTACTCATAAAATAAATCCTAGAGATAGGTTCAAATATCAATTTCATAACTTTTTACGACCTGGTACAGGCAGAAGTTTTGTTGTTTTTTTTTTTTTTTTCCCAATTAAGTTTTAACACTCTCTTAGCTAAGCAGCTGTGCAAGCTCCCCAGAATTTAACACCAAAAGGTAGTTTTCTGAGGCATGGTTATTAGACATGGTAAATATGAGGGTTCTTTATGCTGCAGCTTTTGTTGCTATATTACAAGTTGATTTACAAATACAGCTGACCAACCTTCTTCAGTGCTATTTCACCAGTGTCAGAAATTCAGATGCTGAAATATTGAACACCTGAGCTTGCTCCCAGCGAGATCTTTGCCACTGAGTTCAACAACAATACTCTGAACCCGTAAGTGACTTGGCCTGAGGTCCCACAGAAATCAATGACTGAGTCAGAAAAAAGAGCACATCTCCTGGTGCTCAGTGTGATTTCTCCTGCACAGAAAGGTACTGCCAGACAAATACAAGGCTCTGTCACAGGACTTGTCTCAATGATTCAGTTCAATTTGACAGGATGCTTAACAAAAACTTAAGAAAACTCTGTCTACTAAATTCTATAGGGTTTTGCCTAAGCAAAATTAAAGACATCTTTTTCCCAAGCTGTCTCATATACACACACAGCTATAAAACAAGCAATGCAAGCTTGCTTGCTCTTTGAAAGGCAGCAGCTGCATTGTTACAAAAATCTCCCCGAAAGTAAACATATTAGCACTGTATAAACAGCTTGATTTAATAAGAAATGCAGTACAATATTCCCACTTTGTCTTTGGGATCATGGTGTTGATGGTGGCAATAATTCAAGGTGAATTATGGTATCTGTTCAAATGAAAGAAAAAGAAAACTCTCCAGCTATAGTCGTGAATGAATTTCTTCCTCTTAGCTGAAAATGAGAAATGGCTATAATTTAGTTCTCATTTAAAAGTTGCTCTTGGCTAAACTCTAAAATCTTAATTGCTTCTTAATATTCTCTGCTTATTTTTTCCCTTTGAAACCACAGTCTATAGGACTGTAATGTTTAGATTAAAAATCAGAATGAAAAACAAACAGTGGAAGGTTACCAAGCTCTCCTGAAATATGTTATTTTCCCCCCAGATGACAAAAGTTGCTGTGTATCAAAATATTTCAGTTGATTTCCTGACTCTCCTGTCACCCTCCTGCACCTGTGTGAAGATGAAAATGACACTGACACTGGGTTTACCCCTAAGTGTCAATACTCAGGACTACTTCAATTTGCTACAGAATATAGTGGAAGTTCTAGAAAAGACATGATTCAAGCCATATTACAGCTCAGCATACTATAGGAACTCATCTTGCTGCAAAAAAACTGAAGTCACACTCAATCCCTAAATAGTTTGGAGGTCACTACCAAACACACCCTGCAGTTCTCAAAGCTCATAGCAAAGGCTGTGAGAGTAACAGTGGCAAAGACTGCAGACAATCCAAGTCAGATTTTAAACTGACCTTGAAGATCTGCAGATGGATTTTAGGATACTGAATCTGGGTATAAAATCACAGATGCAAAACAAATGCCTAGAAATGCAGAAATAAAGTGTTTGGGAAACAGCATGTGACGACGCCCATGTTTCAATGGGCTCTAGACAAGCTAGCAGTGCTCCAGTGAAGGTCCTAAAATCTCAGTGTACAGTCTTCAGAAATACTCAGTTGTTGTCCTTACAGCACACAATTTCTGGAAACAGTATGAAAGGAAAGAAAGCAGAAAAAGAGAAACCTTTGTGCCACTGCAAATGAATGGTGAATCCATATGGTGAGTAAAACAAGGATCTGGTCTCCTCACCTTTTCTGTCTGCTAAGACTCAAATTCTCAACTTGGTGCTAAAAGAAATCAATTTAAGCACTAGAGGTCCTGGGAGCAACAGTCCCCTTCATCATGCCCATGACAGCTCAAGGATCAGCCAGGCCAGCTTTTCCTCAAGAGGAATCAAAGATGCACAGAAGCAAACTGAAACTGCAGAATCATTGTCCCTCCTGCCCTGGGAGCCCAGCTACCAACAGGCCACCGTGGATGTCGGGGCTCGTGGTCACCTGTGATTATGCTCCCCACATTTTTCTGGGATAAAAGACAGCACAATTTTTGCAGCTTCATTATGCTGACCTAGTTTATCTTCCACTCTACCAACGTAAAATCACACAGGCCTCTTTGTGCAGCAGTGCCATTTAAAGTACTGAATCCAGGAAACTTTAGTAGAAAGGTAATTCAGAGCTCTGCTTGCCTGCGAGTTCCCATCCCTTTTCATTACTGAGATGGCCACCACACGAAAAAGATGGAAATGACCCTTTCTCTTCAACATTAGTCATATTCTTTCACCATTTGTCCAGGATCCACATGAAAAAGGAACTGAGAACAGCAAATTACCTCTGCAAATAAGTGAGTCTTGCTCAGAAATGGGACAGATAATTTCCAAATATATTCAGTTAAAAGAAGTCTCTAAAACACAGCATGGAAGCTCAACAGATGGAAAAAGGAAATTTTCATCAAACAATGACAGTCTCCTTTTCAAATACATAGAACAGAAAATGAAGCTTCCTTACAAGAAGTCTTCTTCATAAATCATCTTTGCTGTATTGTGGAATGAGCCACAGAGAGACCAAACAAAATTAATGCTTTGCCAAAACTTCCCAAGCACCTTCTCTAACTCCTTATTTTGGATAATAGGGCACAGATGAGATGGAAACAAGCAGAAGGCTCTGCTTCATTGTTCCAGTTATGTCACCACTGGTCTCAAATCATCTAATTCCACAAATGCTCAAAAATGCAAAAGCAAAAATAAAATTTGTTTTACCCCCCCAACACATTGCCAAAAGCAACTATGTCTCTTCTGCTTCAATTTACAATGTTTTTTTCTAACACTACAACAAAGTACTGCCGTGCAAGAAAAGACCCCTTGGTCTAGCATGCCTGTCCCCTTGAGGGTTTATCCTTTCATCACAAGTGCTCCTCTGCTGTGCACTTCAATACCGTGTTTCCCTTTCTGAAATATCTGTTTCAAACTTGTGTTCATGCCATTTGCTTTGATGGTGTTATTCAGCAAATTATTCCATATGTTGCCCATTACATCTTAAGCTAAGTATTTTTTCCTGAAAAAGCAAATTACTGCTCCTTTCAAACTTCTGAATTAGAGTCTGCAGTGCTTCAAAATCTCTTTTTCCCCTTACTTTAAAACACTCACAGAGGTAAATATTTTATTTTTTTCCTGAGGAAAGGCAATCACACAGCAAATAAATTGCTGTGCTGCCACTTCAGTGACATGGTCTGCAGCATTCCCAGTGAAATATTACTGGGAATGATTTGTGTTCTAGTTGCTTGTTCATTTATCCTAAAACATATGTGTATTTTTAATACACTCTTTGTATTTGTTAAAAATCCTCAAAACTACTCACAGATTATTTAAAGGTAGTATATATGTCCTTTCAAGTTTGATCCTTTATTTCTTGCTTTATATTTATCAAAAAACTTTGACTGCTACCTGACATAATTTCCATGTCTATATTAATTTTCAATCTCCACCAACTTTAATATCTTTTCAGGGATGGTATTCTTTGAGCAAATTAAACACAAATTTTATAATTATTTGTCTTGCTCCACTAGTGAAATTGCTAAGAAATGGAAATGTTTTGCAAACAATGATAGTACCAACATTCTTCTAGATAATAGCTGTTAGCATTGTATTTCAAAACCTTTCTGCCTTAGAAGAGAATTTTGTATCAACACTAGATAAATACTACTAATCCTTCAACCCAGCGTTTTGAGATATACCATATCCTTCCAGGACTTGCTGTGAATGTGTGAATGTGACCAAGTTTAGTACCTCAAATAAAGACAATATATATTGAAAAACAGGATAATACAATGGGCTCTTTAGAACCTTTCCTATTTCAGCTTTTATGCATATACCACTGTAATTTTTATTCACCTTCCTACTGCAATGATGTTAATTACTTAAAAATGTTAATAGAAATTATTTTCACAAGACTATTGCCATTTACTTATTAATTCAAATGTTCTCAGTCTGAACAATTGGGCCAACTAATTGACAGCAAAATGGGTGTACTGAAAAATAGCTTGGTACTTTTTTAATGGATTCTGCAAATATAATGATTAACGGGCTGGTATTTCCCATCAAAGCTACTTTATCCCAGCTAATCAGATTTTGAAATCATTCCTAAATATCTTGTATGTGGCTTATCCGTGGTTAATGCTAACTTGCAGACAAATCAGGTGCCTCTGGGTTCTGACTTTGACCTGAGCAGGTGCTGCAGGTTTTAGTTTACTCTAAATCAAATGGAGAGGGATTTGTTGATGATAATCCTGGTCTCCACCACTGAACCAATGTCCACTCGTGTGAATGATGGTGCCTCTTTGTAGGAGGCAATCTTTACTTTCAAGACCTTGCAGGCTGCAGTTCTGAATTCTTCACCAATGCTAGAGAGCATTGCTGTAGAATGAGAAACAAGCTTACCCCACTTTCTTGAAGTACAGTCAAAAGAAGGAAAGAACTGCATAAAATTACACAGAAGGTTTGTGGCAAAGACATCCATGAAACCAAGGCCAGTCTAACTGGCATTTTCTCCCACAACCACCTTTCCTGAAGGCCAGGAAAAGATAATTTTTTAATAGCTACTTCAGAGGGACTGTTTGTGAAAATAGTCACTGTTACAGCTGCCTCTACCACTGGTAGAGCTCTACCAAGCTCATTTTCATGACATAAAAATAAGCATTTAAGATAGCTGAATAGTTAACCAAGAAAGCTGTTCTAGCACCCAGAGAACTATCTAATGCATCTATCACCTTAACTTCTAAGAAAATAACAAAACACAGGACCACATTAAAAACACCACCTGGAATGTGTTTCAAATCCTAACCAGTTTCCACTGATAAGGAAACAGGCTCACCTCCAGTAGACAAGCACAGCGATGAGAAGAATGAGGCACACGAAGGTCAGTGCTGAGACCACAATGAGTGGGATGATCCATTCCATTTTACCAGGAGAAGGTCTCGTGGCCATGCTGGAACTGTTCTTGCCAGCTGTGTGTTAAACACATAAAACCAATCACTGGGTGGAAAAAAGAATTACTGTATGGAAAAATGTATAAACAAAACAAATAGCTTATCCCTTTTACATGCTATGAGTAAACAGAGCAGAGATCCTCTAACTGCAGGGTGGGACTCCATTTGTCTTCAGTCTGAGACATGAGAGCACAGAAGTATGGTGTTTATTGCCACATATGGCTAGGATTTTACTACTGCCTGTAATTACGGTCTCTTAGACACTTTTAGGACTCTTTCGTGCAAGCACGCATTATCAGATGTGGAGTATCCCACTGAGCCAATGCTGTGCTCTGTCACCAGTGTTTGCAGATAAATGTACTCTGTTTCTCAACAGTGCAGGACAGCCCTGTTTGCAAAGCTCCATGTAATACTTTTCTTTAGAAATAAATTTCTTGGTTAACTATCTTAAAATAAAAAATCCTCAACATGTTGGGTGTCATGTCACATCATTTGCAGAATTGTCACAATCTGGTGGGTTACTGCATACGAAAGCACTTTTTAGCATATGGATTGTCAAGATGGGTGGATGAATGAATGGATAGGATGTGTTGTAACTGACAGAAGAAATCATTATGGCACAGCTTTTGAACAAAATTAAAGTTTGTCAATACCCTGAGATCTGGCTGAGTTAACTCCGCTTCACTTTTTGCATGACATCTCACTAAAATTATTGTATCGTATATAAGATGAATATCTAGAAGTTCTGCAAGTGCTGGAGCCAATGAGCATAGACACTGCACCAGTGTATTTCAAAAGACATCTAATTTGTGCAAATTCATGTATACTTGATGAGTAAATTGGTTTAGACAGAATGATAAAAGAAAAATGCAGAAGCAGATTCCATATCTTATTCATGTTTCCTAACAAACAGGCAGTGGTTGATCAATACCTGTCAACAGGACATAATGGAAAAGGATTAGTACAAACAGCTTCAGATTTCAAGAAGGATTGAAACATGCACACTTGACTTCTACTCTTAAGCCTCTGTGAGTCTTTCCTTACCAACATGCTTCCTTGCCCTCATTCAGTATTGTATTATCATAGCTTCCGAAACTGCTGCAAATCCTACCAGAGGAACATAATTGCCTTTTCACCATAGGCAGGCAAAACACAGATAATTAGAAGTCACCAGATGTCACATAACATGAAGTCATACTCTATTTTAATAGCATTTAGATTATACTCCTCCATAGGCAGGAGTAAAATTCAACTAACGTGGAAGTAAAGGTTAATTGTAAATGCTTTTGCCTGACTGCTGAAAAAACAGCAAGGCTGCAGGCTGGTGCAAGCCCAGCAAGAAGTCTTCCTAGTTTTGAGAACTAGGCTGATAGAGGTAATGCCCTTTAGTAAGCAGCCTAAATGATGTGCTAATCAGAAGGATGTTTGGGAGAAGTGAACATGCACTTTGATTGAACATCTTTGAATTCCCTGACTAGCAAAGAATAAGAAAAGAGCAACCCCCAAATTAGAGCAAAGGCTTATTCTCTGTATTTGCCAAACTTAAGAAATGCTGTCTTGAGGCATCAGTTATTACCAGTGCATTTCAAATCATTTAAGAGCAGGAAAAAAAGTCAGCCTGTGAGGTGTTACTAATCAGAATAGTAAAAGGGACAAATCAAAAAACCACATCATGTAATGAAACCTTGTAGGAGAGCCAAATAATCCCACTGCCTTATATCCATTAGGATGTTGCTTCAGTTCTCTCCAGTGACAATATTCTGTTTAGTTCCACCTCCACATCTTTCAACACAAAACCATATGTTTCTGTTTGCATGGGAAGAAAATTCAATTCCATTGTAAGCACAGCATGGGCTGCAGTCCCAATGCACACTGTTAAATTCTGCAGTGCTCATGATGCTCCTCTTAGTCGGTCTAGTGTGGAGAACACAGAAATCTGCCCCTGCCAACTCCCTGTACCACAGATGTGAGGAGAAGAAGGTGCTCAGCATGCTGAGTGCCAGAATAGCAAATATAGCAAATACCATTCCCTAATGCTGATGGCTGGCCCCAAAATTCCAGTTGGGAATACTCAAGCAGTGATGCACTTCAGAAGAAAAGACACAGTTTCTGTGCTGGCTTTGAAGAAAAAAATCTAAGGTGTTTTCCACTGTTTAAGTAACGTGCTGTGAGAGCTTAAACAAACCAGTGCCAATAAATTGTACAATGGCATCTAGGGCCAGAGGTAGAGCTGGTGTCTGTCTTGAGTGTCATGGCAGAACAGCCTAAGAAAAGCCAGCATGCTGGATAACTTGGAAAAAGATGAAATGAAAACACGCAGACACAAAAAGACAGATCTGGGCCTCTACAGTTTCCTGTTCTCCCGTACAACAAAACAGTATGAAATAAAAAAATAGTCACAATTCCATTATTTTCCAAAGCAAGAACGTCAAGCCCTGGTAGTGTCAACAGCATATCCTTGTAACAGTGCCCACCATAAGCTGTACTTGGCAGGGGATGGGGGAAGCTTAAAAAATGGACTAGGAAACTCCATTTTTGCTAAGAAATGTAAACAGTTTCCAGTGGCATATGCCTTCGTTGAATTAATTCAGTTTGCCTTTTACTGGCTTGGAATTCATCCCAGTAGGAAGGAATAAAAAATTATTACAGCATATCTGTTTCAGGAGGTCCCACATGATACAAGCCCTGGCACTACTAAATCTACTCCTGCGCCTGGAAAAGTCCGTAACTTCTGTGAACCAGCCATTCAGCAGTTCCACCCAGGCACTGGATGGATGAGCCCTGGCACAGGGAGTACTGGATGGCATCAGGCAGCCAAGGAGGCTCTGGCAGTGCAATTCTTGTATAAAGGTCAAGGTAGGAAAGAGGCATTCTAGAGTTTGTGAAATGTGCTTTTTTTCTGCATATTCTTGGAAAACGGTTCCTGAGAAAAGAAACATGTTTATTTCCCTTAAGTAACACTGCTTGCTATAATAAGCAACAATAGCTGTACTATATAACCTATCTACTTTTATCATTCCTTGCCATTGCACAAACTGCCAGGACAAAGTTCTGTTTGTTGTACCATTTCAGATACCATTAACCAAAGAAAAGCCCTGCTGCTGAACTGCCTCAGACCACACCGTCTCCTAAGAGAAAGTCAGCTTGCTCATCTTTCCCTTGAGTAAGTGAAGTGATGTGCTTAATATAAAGGTATTAATTAATTATGGAAAATAATATTGGCCATATTATTAAATGATGAAAAGGCAAACCCATGTTTCTTAAAGAAACCTTTGATACAAGCTTGTATCATGGGGCAGCTGTTACCCCCTATTTCTTCAAGGCAGTCCTGCAGTATTCAGGCTTACAGGCTGTGCACTATTAAGCATGACTTTTCACTGCTTTGTAACAGATGCCAATCATATTTAATTCTATATCTGAAATTCATAGTTTGCAGGCATCAAATAATTCAATTATTTTATTTTCAAGCCATTCTGCTGTTTGCTCTTGTGAACTGCCATGTACATCTCTGAAGATATTTAAAAGCTGTCTGGACACAATCCTGATTAAAGTGCTATGGGGAACCTTTCTAAGAGCAAGGAGACTGGACTAGCTGACTCCAATGGTCCTTCCCAACTTTATACACTCTGTGATTCTGTGTGAAAATGGCTGAAGTGCCACATGAAAATACAGCTTAATAATCCTTGCTGCAGATGGAGAAGAATTACACAGATGTTTAATTATGCTAATTGAGGATATCCCTGGAAAAGATTGCTCTAAAACCCAATATTCAGTCTTTGTTAAATGCATGCATCATGCTTGAAATTTAACCCTGCACATCAAGATCTCTCTGTCTCTAAAATGCCCCCTCATGGGAGGAACTCAGCAGAGGTGGGTGAGCACTGAGGGATTGGAGCACTTGGCTGAAATTTGGATGAGGAGTCAAACCAGTCTCTCTGTCCTCAGTCCCAGCTTACCACTCAGGCTTTTGCCCCTACCCCACAGCTATTACTTTGCTTACAACAGCCTAGTTGTTAACTCCAGTAAAAAAAAAATTACCTGTATAATTGTCTGGTACAATCAACCAAAATTATGTGGGATAGTATCTGCTTTAGCCTATAAAACTGAATCATCCTGGGTTTCATATTTTCCCTTGCTTATTCCCTGCCCCCCCATCCCCACCCCCTTTTTGTGAGAGTATAATTTTAATTGCTGTTTTTCTGATTTTCAGGTTTCAGAGACAGCGACAATGCTGAGCAGCTGTGTCTGTAACAGTTGCAGCTCAAAAGTACAATTAGTCTAATGTGGGCACCAAAACAGAGAAAAGGACGATCAGGGAAATGAAAGAGGAGAATGCAAGCAGGCATTCAGTGACAGAAGACAATCATTAGCATTGGCCAATCCCAGTCAGAAAGAGGACAGTGCCATTTGGAAAGTAATGACATGGCCTCGGGAGAGGTGTGTGTGTGTGTGTGTGTACGTGTGAAGTAGGCACTAAAAGAAAATGAGCCTTGCTGCACTAATTGGCCTCACACTTTCCCTGTAATTTCTCATGAGTTCCCTGCTCTCCTCTAATCATGCACACTCATCTCCTTACAACTGCTAATTTGATGCCATATAATTAATTTTACAAATGTACATTGTTATGAAACAATTTTCTACTCTTTAAAATGATAAACTTTCTACTCACAAAAACATTTTTGAAACCTTGACAGCTTTTAAAAAACTGCTTATAAAAATGCAAGAGAGAAGATGCCAGAAGAAAAGATGCATCCAAAAATGTTTCTGCCCTCATACTGGGACGGAGTAAACTGCAGAGATGCTTTCTGCTTACTTGGGAAGTGCCCTTAACATTCTTAGCTGTGCTGCTGCTCAGGAATCCTTTCAGACACTTCTGTCAATGCGCTCTTGGCTTCACTTGTTTTAATTTCAGGCTCACCTTGTTATGGAAAACCTTTAAGGCCTTTTCTCACAGGAGGAGATCTCGCTATGGCTGGAGTTTCACTAAACTCAACTCCTGGCATGAGTTAGGTCAGGTCTGTCTGTATGAATTGCAAATTTCCATGTTACTGGGGAAAATAATTAAGCTGAAGCAATTAGTCCTAGGCTTTGTACTAGTCTAATTCACCATCCTGTGTCTTTGGTAACCTAGATCCAGCCTGGAGCAAAGCTCCTTCTCCAGCTTTCCCAAGTGTCTTCTCACAGGGTAGCACTCCCAACAGGCCTTCTTCCTAACCCAAAGGTGATTAGGGCACGAGGCATGTTGAAAACAGCCTGACAGGCATCTCAGACCATATTCAGTGGGAGCAGTGGCCTTTGAGGATTTCCAGCTGAGGAGTAAAAAATACTAGCAGTGTATTGAAAAAAAAAAAATCAGCACAACCTGTTGCAGGTTTCTCAGCTTCTGCATTGTTAATCTGATCTCTGACAGAACAGTAATGATTCACAGCATTACAGACTGGTCAGCATTTCTGTAACAAATGCTATTAAAGTTTGGATTTAGCTTTGTTTTTTAAATTGGTTCTGGGCTATAACTGAATATATAATATCTGCTTTTTGTGTTTATCAATGCAGAGAAAAATAAATATGCAAGGCTTTTTCACACTACTTTAGAGCAGCTTTGTTGGAAAAAGAAAATTATAAAACACTCTACAGATTAGCAAAACAAACAATAGTAGTAAAAAAATCCCAGAAACAATAAACAAAAAAAGTGCACTATCTCATAAATGCTGTGGTAATACACATAACCACTCAAATAAACTTGTCTAATAAATATATCAATCTAAATCTAAACAAATAAATCAAAAATAAAACCACATGCACGCACTCCATTTGGTTGCTGCAGTTTTCCTCACCAGTGCCCGGAGCTCCCCAAGCAGGAACACGTGTGGACATTCTGCATGGTGCCTTGGGAGCACCGTGAGGCACCAGCCTGCAGAGGCCTGTGCAGCAAACCCTGGCCAAACCCTGACCACACCAGGAGTGGAGCACATGCAGATCACCCGGGCAGGCTTCCCAGAGGTTCTATTTGCTGTGCACACACTGTGGAGCTGGGACATACATCCAGAGTTGGAGTGCACAGGAACACTGGCAATTCTCGTCAGGACAAATAGAAAATATGTGAACTCTCCCTAGTTAAGATTTTTTTTTTCCCCCCCACAGAAGGTGCCTTGTTTTGGAAGATCAGAGCATGTAGGTTTTGTGTTGAGAAATAAACCAGCAACCATCCTGATTTGGGAGAATATCTCAAAGCCCAGTCAGGGAGAATCCTGCAGATAAACTAAATTACCTAGAAGCACATATACCAGACTTCCTATGAAATGCCACTTCGGCACAGCAGCTGCTTTTCCAAATTAATTTCACAGCTATAGTTCATTGTATTCCCCTATCTTTTTCTTTTCAACAAAGTTCTTTATGTGGCATGTTGGGAGTGAAAATTTTTCCAGATTTTCTGTTCCAACAAGCTATAAAGACCATGAATCTGATCAGTAAAAGGATATTCCTTTCCACTCTGCTCCCCCCAGTTACAACTTGTGGGGTTGGGTCCTGTGACAACCTGCCAATCAGATGTAGCCAGACACCACAAAAATGCTGTATCTACTGGAAATCAGTAAGGAATTTAAACTGTGTTGTTTCCCAACACTTACGCTGGTAAAAATGGTTTCCCTGAAGATCACTCACCTGGGTTAATGGTGATGAATTTGTTATCTGAGGGATATTCCTCTGGAAACCTGTCCAGCTTTGGAGGAGGATTTCTTGTTGTCTCTGGTCTTCTTGGGATCTTGCCCAGGTACAGTTCGTCGGTGAACGCTGGTGGCACTTGGGTGGAAGGGAGCAGCTGGGGCTGAGTGTCGGCTTCGGCAAAGCTCTCCTTCTCGGCACCTCCAGCCGTGGGGGCAACGTTTTGCTTTGGCACTTCTCCCGATAGGGTTTGATTTCCTTCTCCCTCAGCAGTCCTGTTGGGGGAAGCCACGGCCACGCTGGGCTCTGTGCTATTGCGCGCCTCTGAGGCTGCCGTCGCCCTGCTCTTCTCCTTCTTCTCAGCATCCTTTTCCTCCTCTTCCTCATGCTCCCGCTCCCCGTCCTCGCTTTCACTCTTTTCATCCTTCTCCCCCTCCTCGGCTCCCTCGCCGTCCTTGGTGAGCGCCGAGTCCCGCTCCGGCCCCGCGGAGGCGGCGGCGGCCTCGGTGGTGGCCACCACGGCGCGGCCGGCCTGCTTGCCGGGGGCGGCGGCCGCAGGCAGCCGGGTGGGCCACACGCTGCTGGGGAAGGAGGAGATGCCCCCACCGCTGAAGCCCAGCCCTGCCAGCAAGGTGCTGGTCACCACGGAGGCCACGGTGGCCTGGCTGCCGCTGGAGGAAGGGCCCATGCCCGTGGCCATGGACACGAAGGAGAAGGGGAGCCCCGAGGAGGTCCAGGTGGAGGAGCCGGAGCTGATGGGAGCCATGTCTGCTGAGGAGGCAGGAGATGCTGTGGGCTTGAGGAGATCATTGGCGGCAGAGGGGAAGAAAACACAGCAGAAAGCATCAGCAGGAGCCCAACATACCACCTGGGGTCATTCTCTTGCTTTTCCCTCCCTTTTCATACACATGCTATTCTCCTAAAACCAGAGATTCAACACCAGGTGGACAAAAGGCTAAGCCAGGACAGAACATGCCACAGAGCTACCAGCAAACCTCAAAGAGAGGAAACCTCCCTGCCTTCACCACATCATCATTAAACCCTCTTTTTTCCTTATCTTTATTTTACATCAAGGCCTCCTCCCACATCAGTACTGACTTGTGAGTTTCCTCTTGGGGTGAGAAGAATGTAAAGGAGTTTAATGAGTTCAGCTGCATTACTCACAGTGCTTTAATCCTCAGAAGAAAGACAGGAGTTTAAAAATACAGTGTTACATAACGGCTGTCCCAAAATAATGGCTGCCAACGTGAGCATCCATGGCTGGTGGGTCTGCTCTGACAAGGAGCTCTGGCTCTTCCTACGCACACTGTGAGAGCCTCAAAATATACTATTTTTATTTCCTTAATTTACCCATCTAGATTATTCTCATAAGGTGTTGCTGTGAGGCATTGCTCTTGTTAGAAAAGAACTGCAGCAGGGCCAGCTGGGCACTTCTGAAGGACTTGGAGAGCATCAGGAGCCCTTCAGCAAGCCACCACCACATCTGCCAGGACCTTCAGGCTGTGACACCCATGTTTTCCACATCCACAGGACTCTGGCCACCACCAGTGAAGGAAAGGCAGGACTGGCAGTTCCTGCTTCACTGGGAGAAAGCAGGTGATGAACTACAGATTTTGCATCCTCTGCACCCTGCCAACATTATTCTAATGTCAACCCACTTGCACATATGAGGGTCCTGCACATATGTGTGTGCTCTGCTGTAAATAAAACCCCTTAGTACACACATAAAAACCTAAACCTTGGTCTGTTCATAAAGAACTAATCTTGAATTAGATGTGGAAAGAGACTGAAGTGAACTGTCTAAAGACAAGGAATAATTCTGTGGAAAAGCTGAGTAAGCTGTTCCTCTGGACAACCTGACCATTCTTCCTCTCTGAATTACTGAAAAATGTCTCACATTACTGAATTCATCAGCAGGAGGACCATTACCTGGAAAGGTAGGCACCAGATGGGGACAAAAAAGGGTTAAATAGGTGCTGCTGAACATTGAAAGAAAGGTAAAATGTTTATTTTGGAAAGTGAAATTTGTAACTTTAAAATATTTCTGCATCTCTCTGCAATTCCTGTGTTCAGTCAAGCTGTGTAGTTGAAATGCTGCAGCAAACCAAGCAAGGCTGCTTTCTCACATTATTTTTGACCAGCTGCAATCACAGAAAACCTGAGATCTCAGATGAAAACCTGTGCTTTAGAGATTTCAAGCCAAAATTTTAAATAAGCATCTAAACTTTCAGATACTTATCAATCTGAATCCCTGAGGCACTGTGAGATTTGCTTTTTGCTGGAACGAACAGTCTCAAAGCTGGACTGAGTATTAAAATTTGACATCAGATTTTATATATCTAGAATACCTCTATACATCATTAAACAAACATAAATCATTCAAATGCAAGCTTTGTATATGTTATTTGCTTACTAGGGAGTATATCAAACTGGATCAGAATAAAACTAGAAGCAATGTACTTAGAGTAAATTCAATAGTATGAATCCAGCCCATAAATCTGACTGAACAACTCAGTGCAATGGATGCCAAGAAATTTAGGTTATGGATAGTTTATAGTTTATTTATATTAAACAAACTAATAAGATGGTTTCAAAACTGAAACAGTGTATTCCACTTTTACTGTAAATGTACCAACATTTCTGATTCTGGAACAGAAAAGTTGGCCTCAGTGACTTGTTACAGTCTCACCTGAATTAACATAAAACAAGGACATTGTTCAGGCTTTATTCACACAGTAACAGGTATCCTTAAAACACTGGAAGAACAAAGATACTGTGTGTGAGGCCTTATTTCTGTGGCATATACTTCTGCTCATACAGTTAATAAAATAAATTGAATTTATTTCCACAGTCATCATTAAGATTTTACAAATCCCCTCTAAATGGGTTGAATACAGATTGAGGAAAACATTTTCACATTTGATTCTCCAGGGGTCAAAGCCTCTCAGAGCATGAAGCTAGAAAACAATTTCATATAGCAGCTGTATTTTATGCTATAAACCCTCCTGTGACAGGTCTGGACACCCCCTCCCCAGGAAAGCTGGGTCCTGCTGCAGATTTCCAACATCGTGCTGCCACCTGGTGGGAAATGTCCCCAGATCCCTAAATCCATGACTTACCACTCCTGTCTTCACAATTCGTGTCCCCTCGAAAATTCGAGTGGTGTTAGCTGGGGAGGGAAGAAGAGCAGCACGTCAGGGCAGGGGAGGAGGCAGAGGAAAACTGCTACACTACTGCTCAGCATCTGCCTGCAGAACACAGCCCCAGGTCTCAGTCTGGAGCACAGGCAACTCAGCTCTTTGGCATTACTCACTCTGCACTTGTGTCTAAACACAGACTTGCTTGCCTTTAATTACTCAGGCCTGGCAATGTCAGCTTACTGACAGAAAACAAATTCTCTCCTTCAACCCAAGCTAGATGAAACATCCTGACTTACACAGGAAGCAAGAGTAGCATGATGATAATAGTTTTTTTGTGTTCTTAAAATATTATCATTATTTATTGCTATATATCTGAACTACAACTACCTCTGGTAAATCAACCATTTATCATCAACCTCTGATAAATGTTTTGAAAGCTCAAACATTATTAAACATTAAAAAATTAACCTAGATTAATTTTCTAGGTTAGATATTGGATGCAGCCAGAGATTAGAACAGTAGCTCCTTTTTGGGGATTTGTGGAAGGAATCCCATTATCTACTCCCCCTGCAGATGTGTATATCACTTCACTGCATTGAATACTGGGCTAGAGTATCCAAAGGATCTCCTACAGAGCTGCCAGTAATGATTTACTCCTAACTGTGATTAAACAGTTATTGTAGCCAAACTTCAAAGAATTTTCAATTCCATAATCTAGTAAAAGAGGTTGTAATAAGCAACACATGAGTTTCTAACTTCTGCCTGGCACTTGGAAGTGAAGTCCAAAACAGCGTGCTGAGGTACCAAGAACAGAGCTCCACGTGAGCTGTGACTTGGCCAGGACACTTCTGTGATCCTGCTCTCTCTGCCATGTCCACAGCTTGACATCCCTCAGACACTAAGTGCTAGCAGAGCAGGATCAAAACCTCCATACTTTCTGAAAATGACACTGAAAAATGCCCCTGTTATTTTGTTCCATATACAGCATCAGATCCAAGTGACAACTCTTTGCTTCATCCAACGGATTTAAACTTTTAACTCTCTGCTTGTTTCATTCTTCCATTACCCATTTTGAGGTTTATGCATCTATAAGCTAGAGTGGGAGGGAATGCTCTCATCAGAGGCAAAACTTGCCCCACTTAATAAAAAATGTCATACTAAATTCCCAGGAAGGAGCAAAACTTTAGCACTTAAAAAAACCCTCTAAAATAATCAAGTTCTACCAAATCTCAGCTTTACCAGATTTCTCCAATAAACTTAAAAGGAAATCCATGACAAAGGATAGCTTATTATCTAGTTCTTTTGATTTTCTTTAAATATGTATGTTTTGGAAATCACTGAGGTTGCATGCATGGTAAAACCTGGTTGTCTCCACATGTGGTTGTCAAGGTAGGACTGATCTCCTTTCCTCTTTACATAAAACAGACACTGATCAGACTCACATTCTGTTATAGCTGGGCCTCTGATGCATAAATAGTCTCTGATGAATTTGTTTCAGAAAACTAGTACCAAGAAAATCTCTAAATTCTCCTGAAACCTGACAAAACTTGACAGTGAGAGGTGCGGACAAACCCTCCTCACTGGAAATGAGATTCAGATCAAGTCACCGGCCACAATATGAAATTAGGATTGTCTACATGCATTCAAATATCTTCTGAAATAACTACACACCATATTGCACTCTGCAAAGAAAATATTAAACAAACAAAGAATAGTTCAATGTAAAAATTTGTATGTGGTTTTTTTTTTACCTTGAAAGAGCATAGTCTGGCTAAAGTCACTACGCATTTCATTTCGGCAAACTGCTTGAACTCTGAACAGATAAAGGATGTCAGGTGAGACATGGCTAATGATGGCCTTCTGTTTAAAAAAAATAGATATTATTCAGTTTTTTACCCCCACAGTACTGTCCAAGATCAGTTTGAAATACATAAAGCATTGTGCTAACACAGAACATTTATGCCATGTAAGACAAGCTATATTGTACACAGAAATATTCAGTGGTTCCCTGGAGAGGGCAAGCCTGAAGGATAAAGGGATACACCCAGACACTGCTGACTCTGCCCAGGAGAAAGAAATGAACAAATCCCAAATCTGTTCTTATTTCAGTCTTCATGCCTCAATGTCTCTGCTCTCCTCAGAAAAAATTAAAACTCAAGTCATTCACCTTTTACAGCAATTATAATAAGATTTTTTAGGTGGAGAGCCATGACCCAAACACAGGATAAGCCTAGAAGAGTCATTGCATATTCAAACTGACTATTTTACAACAAACTGGCTAAGGCAATTTGATGCTGGTGTGTTATGCAATGCGATGGCTGAGCATCCTGGGCTGGGATATCCCTGCTTACTCCTAGACCTGAGAGTTGCCTTAGTCCACAATAACATCAGTTCACAGGAGGAGCTACATGAGTCACTTGAAATCATTGCTATCTCTACAGCAAAATACTGTCCAGCTCTGACTCGATGGGACAGCCCAACTGTCTGCCAGAGCACTGAAAACAATCTGCACTTCCCTCTGAAAATGGGTTTCCTCTTCTGTTGCCCCTAAAATAGACTAAGATGTCATTGCTTTTTTAACCCAAAGCTCTGCTGAACAGCACAAGGTCTCACTGCAATATATTTCCAAGCTATCACTCCATCACATCCCTTGCACTTATAATTATTTCTTTTACATAAAACAGGATGCATTCATGGTGCCCACCTCATTTTTGCTGATTAAGGCTCTCCTCCTTATACCTGATTTAAAAATCTCCCTTAAGAGAGTGAAATTATGACAAGAGAGAGGTTACAATACATCATAACCTTGGGTGCCTTTCAGTGGATTCCTTTCTGATTTCATGAGGCAGATCGTTCCCTAATGTGACCCAGATAACAATGTCTAGTGGGGAAATTGGAAATATAAATGGAAATGAAGTAAAAGAAGCTTCATCTAAGGGAATAAGAGAAGATTATTGTCTAACTGATTGAATGGGCCCAGAGGATTGTGTATTTGAAAAAAAAAAAAAATATGGTAACAGTCATTAGGAGTAACACTGTGCTGCTGCATTTTTCATGTGCATATACAATTACTGATTTCATTATTCTAGAGACTTTCTTTGATTAACAATAAATGTAGGCCTTTCAAACCTGAATATGTCACTCTGGTTTTATATGCAGGGAATGTTAAGGACCAGTACAATACTTGCTTCCACTTAGACAAGAATGACAAGCAGATGAAATCCTAAATGGAGGAGATAGAGCAGTGTTTCCATCTGTGCTGGAACTGTCTTGCTCTTCTCTCTTTTTCTCACACTGCCAGATGTAGGCAGTGCTTGTACAGGGCCACTCCAAAATAATCTTAAAGCCCGACTATGCAACTCCTGCCTCTGGCAGCACTTGCTGCCAGAAATTGCTCCAAAGTCTGCAAGGGGCTATGCACAGTGAAAAGCTTGAGCCCATGAACAGATTTTGGGGGATCAGACTTTTAATGTGAAAATATGTAAGTTGAACTCAAGCCAAAAGGTATTCAGAGCCTCACCATTTCCTGAGCCAGCTGCTTCTCAGCAACACTACATGAAAAAGTGTCTGCAGATTTAGTCCTTCATGCACTCACAGAAACTATAAATTCACACTCCAGTGTTTGGGTAGCCCGTTCAGCTAATGCTGAACACTTCAATAGCAATTCATCGTGGGCCAAACACTAGCCTGCCTATAAGGTAACGACTGCTTTCCTCCTCTACCTCCTTCTACCAAGAAAATAACAATATAAGGATAGCTTAATACATATGTCTGGGGTTGATGCTGTGCTTTTACCAGGTCCTTGTCACTATCCTTGGTGAAAGTCTTCTCCTTTTCATCTTCATTTTTAGTCCAGCTGTATGAAATCATGTAGTTCATGATCGGAGGGTGGTAAATGGTTTCTGGTTGGTTCCAGGTTACCAGGAGCGCTGTCCTGTTCACAGGCTGCACTTTCATGTTGACTGGAGGAGTGCTACAAGCTGAAAAACAGAAGGAGAAAAGATGAAACTCTTCTAAATAACTGAGAGAAAACAAACAGAATAAACAGTGCCTCACTCTAAGAGCTATGTTTTTTTCTTTAATGTCCTGGCCTACAGTAACAGCTTAGACTGCAATCCACTGAGACCAATGGGATTTAATACCACCTGCAGCTGCTTTCTGCTCTCCTGAGTAAAGTGAATGAGAGAATCCATTCTCTGCAGGCAGGCTGCTTAGCGCTCGACTTAATTCTCAGTCCTGACATTTGCACCTACTCTTTAACTTGGTGACTTAAGAGCTCTGCACTGGAACATTAAGAAATACAGTAGAGCAGATCTACAGCTTCCCTCATCTCCACCCTCCTGCTATTAAGGGGTAAATACCCCAATGTGCTCTGCATGCCCTGGAAAGAGTTGAAACCACTGAAAATGTGGCACTATTGGGTCAGTAAATGCTCTCCTGTTAACATAGTACATTTTTACAGTTATTTTATACTCTCTTGTTATATATCTTTAAAGTTGCTCAACAGTTTGTCAGTAATGCATCACCAATACAGGGAAGAGTGGCTGGGAAGAGTGGCTCCTTGATGGCTTTGGCCATCTCCTCTGAGCAGGCAGAGGAACCCCCAAGGAGCTCTGCCTTCCTAACCTGCCTGTAGCATGGAGGCACAAGTCACTCCTCAGCCATGCTTAATTCAGTGGGGACATCAGCGCAGGGACAGCTTAACCTCTGGGGCTTCTGCTTCCAGCAGTACCAAACGCAAAGCTCTACAGGGTAGACCAAGCCCAGGCACAAATGCAGCCCGGCCCCTGGAGGAGTGGGGTGTGCACAGTTCCCTGGCAGCGTGGAGAAACTTTTCAAGGAGCTGCCATGGAAAGGTCCCGGTGGGGATGCACAACACTAGATGGCACTCACATGCTGTGGGAAAACTGCATCATCCCCTTCCCAGATATGAAGAGTTTAGATTTTTTTTTTTTTCCCCAAGCTTTAAAAATCACATTTAAAATACCCAATTCAGGGCAGATTCTCACATTCTCTCAGTGTAAACTCTGAACCGAGGAAAATCACTTGCAATGATACCTAAGGACATGTGCCATGGCAAAGGAGCTGATCTCTTCTGGCAAAGTGTCACCTAACCCATCAGGCTGACACTGTTTGCAGAATTATTTTTCCCAGTATGACTTTTCCTCTTAAAGCCAACACATTGAGCTTGTTTGCACTCTGCAGGTATGTGACTGCATGTATATTTGGCCATTATTTCACTTCTAAAGAGTCCTGGCAGCACTGAAGGGGAAATATGTCTATTCCTATCCCTGGACTTGCTGGTTGGCCAAACAGCACTGCTATTATATTACTGAAATAGCTACAGTTCTTAAATAAAAATGATTAAATGCTTTAAACACCAGTATTACCAGTACAATAGAAAAATACCTGTCAAATGCATTTGTGCAGTTATAACTCACATTTGTAGCTAGCTGAACAAGACAACATGAATTGCAGAAATGTGCTTGGCCAGGAAATATTTTTGATGTTTGCTCTTGCCATGAGGGGTGACAATCCTGCAGTTTTGCAGTAGATCCTTCTGCTCAACCCAGAAGGATGATCCAGCAAAACAAACAAACCCAACAGTACCTGAAAGCCTTGGATGAATGAATTTGAGTTTCTATTGGCACCAAGCTGAAGGGATCAAAGCAGAATTCTGCTGTCAGTGCCACAAAGCCAGAAGCCACACCATGGCTTCCCTCTGGTTCCCTCCTGGCCCCCAAAGCACAGCATGAAGGTGGCCAGGACCTGGATGAGATGGGACAGCCAAAATCCACCTGTGTTATCACTACTCACAGAGCTCCCTGATCCTTGGTATGCCTCTCCATGCTCACCTCTTTCCGCTGAGATGGTCAGATCAATTCTCCCTGACATCACTGTTTATTGATAACTGCACCAATAAATCATAACTGCCCTCTTTGACGCCCTTTGTCATCACAGAATTACACTTCAAAATGCCAGGCCAGCCTTTATCGCTCCACCTAATCAAATCCCATCAGAGACAGAGCCCAGGGTGAAGCACTACCCAGACCTAAAACTCTCACCCAGTCCTTGTCCTCTAGGAGGACATGCAGAGATTTATACATTTAAAGTAATCATGCATCAAATTGTTTTAGAAATAATTCAAGCAGGTAACCTTCCTGAGAGACAGAGAGAGATCTACCTTAATTGCAGCAGCCCTCTGAGCTGTGTCTGGCCAGCTGCTTTTCACACAAGGACCCCAAGCCACCCCGGGGAGAGGGGGCAGCCATGTCCCCTGTGCTGTGCCACTCCCTGGATGCCATTTGGAGCAGCCCATGCCAGCCACAGAGGTGGGCATTTCCCAAGGATAAAGAGGAGACCCACAGGCTCAGGGTCAGGAAACCTTCCCTGACCCTGCACCCGGATCCATGAGCACTTCTAATCCCCTGAGTGATTCTGATGACTTCACTGAGGACAAGCCTCATTCACAGCCAACTAAAACGAGGCTGAATTTACAATACTCTGATTTCTCAGTAAATGTTACAAAATTTTCATGAGTTAGGATGGCTTGGTTCAATTTACTCCAAGGCAAAGAGCAGTATCTGGAAAACCTGAAGTAATTTAGTGTTAACCAACCTTTTCTGTTCAACTGCATTTTTTTAAAAAAGCTTATGAATGGGCAAAAAAGAAATATATTTTTTAAATAAAATGAAACATATGGTTTTATTAATTTAACTAAACCTTCTTAGGATACAATGGAATAAAGAAACATTTGATCCTATAATTCAATGTGATGATTTAATTAATGTGATACGTAATAACATAGTGAATGTCTGAAAGGCAAGGAAAAATAGTCCAATGATTTGACCATCTATAAAACAACTAGCATTTCCCAGAGATCTAATTTTTTTTTTTCAGTACTCTCCGTGCCTTGGATTTTTCAAAGAAGATTAAAAGAATCACAGGCTAAAGGACCTCTACTGATTTTGCAAAATGTGCAGCTGAAGAAGAGATAGAAATGCAGGAAGAGGTTGGGACATGTAAGGGGAAGTTTAATCAGGACACACTAAAGAGAAGCACAAGCTTTTTTTTTTTAACAAAGCCAGGCTTAAAAAAAAAAAAAAAAAAAAAAAAAAAAAAAAAAAAAAAAA